CGGGCGCAGCGGGGTGGGCGGCCGCGGAGTGCCCGCGCGGGGTCGGGCCGGCCTGCGGGTGGCTGCTCGGCGCCCGGGATCGTCGTCGGGGGCTGCAGACGTCCTTTTGTGTGCGCGGTGAGAGGGCCTTTCGCGAGGGGTCCCAGGCCGTGCTATCATGTCCCCGTCGGCTGGGCACAGCCTGCGTAAAAGTCGCTTACTCCGGGGCTGGGACCCCCGGCGGATGGATGTCGTCACGGAGCTGAGTTCTTCGCCGCGCAGGGTGGGCGGAGGGCAGCGTTTCAGAGAGCAGCTTGGGGGGATTATCTTCCGGAGGGGACGTACGCAGACACACCTGCGTGTGCGCGGGTGAAAACAGCTGCTGTCTTCGCGGAGAGGTCACTGTGGGTCTTCGTGGTTGTCGCTGCTGCTGTTGCTCCAAGCGGCCTTAGATGCGCGCGTGCGAAGGTGAACCGAGCGCCGGCGCGGGCGGATTCCTGGCAGCGTGGGCGACGCGGGGAGACCGTGCTCCGGGCCGCCCGACTCGCTCCCTCTTTGGAGACCCGCTGTTTGTTTTGAGGCTGTGGGAGGATCGGGTGGGGCGTTCGGTAAGAAAGAGGACGGTTTTCCAGGCCTTCGGGCCCAGGGGCAGTTTACGTCTTCATTCTTGCCGGTTCGGTCGAAGAAGGAAGGAGGCCGTGTCTGTGACCGCAGCGGCGAGTGGGTGGAACTGACGACGGCGGGCCGGCCCTGAGACGCCTAAGCCGAGGGCAGTGCTGGAGCTCCCGGTGATGTTTATGTCAACCTGTGCGGTTAACTGGGTTGCCCCAGCTACTGCCAGTTTCTACGGAGGGCTGCTGGTCTCCCTCTGGAACGACGGGTGGATCGTTCCGCAAGCGTGTCGTGGTTCCTCTGAGCTTCGGTTTTTGGCCGGTGTCTTAAAAGTCTAGCCCCTGCTTGGACACCGCGTGGTTTCTAGGATGCTGTCTAGCGCCTGCTCCGGTAATAATGCAGGTCTAGGATGTTTCTGTTGCAGGAAGCGTAAACTTTATTTAGCCTGGCATTTAACGTCTTCAGTACATTCCCAGTTTGCTCATCTCGTTTACTGTTACTCCTACCTTCCTAGGTAGGAGTAACTAATTCAAAATTAGATGAGATGTGGATCGGTAATCCAGGATTAGAGCGCTCCTCTGATCCAAAACTTAATGGACTTACCTTCTCACCGACTTTTCTTGAGCTGGTCTCTGCTGTTACTACTGCCCATCCCGTTTCATTGGCAGGAAGGCTGTCCCAGTTACAAGTCACTTTTCGGCTCTTCACAGAAGATTTGAAGTCACTGATTATTCATTCTTTTCTTTGAACGTTTATGTTATGTTCTTTGTTTCTTGTTCCGGATAATAAACTCCACTTTCTTAAGTGGACTCTTCCACATGGGGTCCTCTTTTGTGCTCTTTAGATTCCAGAGATACAACTTAGGTTCACTTGCTTGGGTTTGAAACCTAAAGAAGCAGATGATATATCAGAACCAAACTAGGTAGGACAATGACGTTTAGAGTTGTAGAGTTGGTGACTGAAAGGTAGGGTCACATCCTGGTTTTTGTTAGTCATATGTATAGGGTCCGGTTAATACAGAAAAATGTTCAGAGTTATCGTTCACTTCCTAATACTTGGGGTCCTGAAGGATTATACTTGAGTTTTTCGGAAATGTCCCCAGAGCTGTGTGCAGACTTTTGGGGTGGTAGGACTGCCACCTAAATTGGCTTCTCAGAGCAGCTGGTAAGTGGAAGCCCCCTTTGCGAAGTTTATATTAGAATTTTCCTTTTGTCAGTTTAAAATGTCTATATTTATGCTTTTTAACATTTTGAAACACCTTGTTTGTATTTTTATAGATCAGTCATATCATTTGGATCAAAAAATAGAACAATTGGAGTAGCAGCCAAAAATCAGGTATGTTTTTAAGATAATTCTGACCACTTTTTAAGGGGGAGATTTTAAAAGGAAAATCTCAGGAGACGTACTGTGTGAAGTGTCCAGGCTTGCCTGTTTTTGAATTTAAAGATGTAATTCAGGTATTCTTTATGAGCCCTTATATGACACTTGTCCCTTCCTTCTGTTTTCTTTCTCTTGTTTACTGAATAAGATCTACCTTTAACTTTCTAATCTGCCAACCTTAATTTTCAATAACTTCTTGCTACCTTTTAATTTGTTTAGTTTTATATTTTTAAAAATTATAAATATGATGACACTGTAAGCTCTTTCATGTGAAGTTTCTCATGATACTCAGTGTAAGAGTTAAAGATTCCCTTTGTAGGAGGAACTTCTAAGAAGTTTAAGTGTTTTCAGGTTACTCAGTAATTAAAGTAGGACTGGGAGAAGTGTTTGTCTCGACCTGTGTTGGCATTTGAAATATGGCTGGTCTGAATCAAGATGCATATGAACTAGGTATAAGATGCCTATGAGATTTTGATGATCTGTGATCAAAGAAAAAGGAAGGTACTATGTTTCATCAATTTTTTTGTATTGATTACATATTGAAGTGATAGTTTTTTTAATATATTGGGCTAAATAAATATTGAAATTAGGCTCATCTGTTACTAGTTTTTAATGTGGCTACTAGAAAATTTACCTATGTAGCTCCGATTAGTGGCTCACATTATATAATTCTGTTGAATGATCTAGACACCTTGGAGGTGTGATAAAAACAGGGTTTTAAAAAATGAAGTGCTTATTGAGCGGCTTTAAAAGAGAGAAGGAAAAAGTTATTCTAAATACAGAAAATGGTATTGCTAAAAAGGAAGCAAAGTCCTTAACCCTGGAATATATTTTAGTGCTATGTTATGACTGGTTAGACACACAGCAAAAAGGCTGGGTGGGTAGGGTAGGTAGGGAAGGGATACAAGAAAGAAAGAAAAGAAACAGTTACCCACACTTAAAATGACATGCTCCAAAGGATTGAGGGACTTTAGTAACAATCTCCCTGTCTGTGTCCATTCAGGAGATTGATAACCCAGATCTAAAATTCTGTTACATCTTTGTGGTTATGTGAGGATAATTCATTGAGGATGAAATCTGGTGTGTAGGACTGCTGGATATCCTTCATCTCACTTTTAGAATAATAAGGGATTTTAGGATCTAAACTTGTTTATGTTGTACTCTGAAAACTTGCACTGTTAAGCTTCATGTTATTCAAAGAACTCGGTCAGAGGAAAAAGGTAAATAGTAAACTGTTGTATTCTCAAGCTAATAATCTCAGAAGTCTTAGTTTTCAGTCTTTTAGTTATTTCTAATTTTGAACAAGGTTCTTAATGATACCTTTGAAATATGCTCTAAAGTGGGACTTTTTAATCTAGGGTTTGCCTAAGACATTTGACCCAAATAGTAGATTTTTTTTAAAAAGACCATCTCTTACAAACATTTAGTATATTTATCTTTCCTATTTTCTTAAATTTCAGATCAAGCATTTCTGCTTAATGTATTTGCCTGTGGACTGAGATTGTCCACTTATTGCTAAAAGTAGCTGAGCAGGAGTTTTAAGTATACTTTTTTTTTAAACAAACATGTGCACCAGTTGTGTAAAATAGTATAAATT